TACCGGAGCCGCGACTCCCCCCGGCACGTGTCGCGGCTCCAGCGTCAGCAGCACTGAGGCCAGGCCCTGCGTCGTCCTTCCCTGCGAAAAGAACGCTCTCCAGATCCACAGACCAGCTTGTTCCTGTGTCATAGGACCCCCTGCTGCACCCCAGAACAAGGTCTGCTGGGTGCGCCAGTTCTGCTCTGTCCAGGGCCCCAGCCCCTGGTGCACCCTGCTTTGCGTGCACCCTCTTGGCGCACCCTGCTTTGTCTGCCCTCCGCAGGCGCCTCTTTGGGCAGGAAATGTCCTGACTGGCCCTGTCCAGGCTCTTCTTGAGATGAAATGGGGTTTGCCTGGCAGGGCAGGGTGCCCACAGATGTCACTGCTGCCCTCCCAGCCCACTGCCCCGCCGGCCCCATCCTGGGCCAGGGCCCGCCCACAAAGAGCCCCATTTTTGTCCTGTGACCCTGGGCTCCCTTGGCCTGCCCACACCCTCCTCCCCACAGCCTGGCTGGGAGACCTCTGTGGCTCTGCAGACCCTCTCGCTGACTTTGGAGAGCCTGAAGGTGCCCTGGCTTCCAGGGCCGACTGGCTTTCTCCTGCCTCCCCTGGGCCCATGAGCTCCCCATTGCTGTGGGCACCCCATGGGCTGCAGCAGACCAGGAGCCCAGGCGCCCATTTTTGCTGATGCTTCCTCACTCCCGTGTAGGCGTCCTCCCAGCCTAAAGCACCGTGGCCATGTACGTCCCCCTCACCCTCCACCACAGCCGCTGCTGAGGAGGGCAGCACCTCTTGGGCTGACAAACCTGATCCTCAGGTAGGACAGTCCTGGAGCCTGCCCAGGGCAGCAGGCAGGCTCCTGGCGGACCCTCTCCCAGCTGTCCAAAAACGCAGGACACATGTGAGGAGGGGCTGGGGTCTGCATGTACTGACTCTGAGGGACAGCTCCAGCCTGACCCCATAGTGCCCCTCGGTTTCTCCTCCCTCAGGGAACCTGCTGGCCGGAGCTCCCCGGGGCCCCAACCTGGGGTCTCCTTCAGAGGCATCCCAGGGTGGAGAGTGTCAGGCTCATGCCCCTCCCAGGCCCCTCTGGCCTGCTGGCTAATCGGGGTGCTGCAGGCCCCTTATTCCGGCCCTGCACGCTGTCCATGGCTGTGCTGCAGCCCATGCCATGTTGGAGGTACATGGGTGCAAGTATGGTTTTGATTGGTTTTTCAGTCCCAAGGAGGCTTGTGGGGGGACATCCCTGCCAAGTTCCTCACGAGCCCCCCCCCCATTCTGGAAGGTCCAGCTGGAAAGGAGTGCACAGGGCAGGTTCCTCCCGCAGAGCAGAATGCATGACTGAGCGAGGGAGCAGGGCCCTGAAGACCTGGGAGAGGGTACCACTCACCAGGTGGGGAGAGGCCCTCCTGTGGACCCCTGGCCTCAGTGCTGGTCCTCTGTTGCTGGTGCCTGTCCACGGGAGAGGTCTGGACAGAAATGCCTGCCCTCCTGGGCCCAGCAGCGGTGAAGGGAGAGGACTGGCGGGCTTGGCTGCTGGGCCCTGGCCATCTCCTTGCAGTGGGGCTCCCGCCACATGCCCACCCTCCCTCACGGCCACCCACATGGTGGCCCACTTCCGCCTTGAGGGTGGGAGCACGTGGGTAGGAGAGTAGCGGTCATCGTCACGGAAGCTGCCTCACGTGGACCTGAGCGCCCTGTGGTCCCATCCTCTCCTGGTCCAGTGCTGAGCCTGGACTCCAGGGACCAAGCACAGCCCAGCTCGGCTTCCCTCCTCACGGGGGACTCCAGGCCCACACGTCCCAGCCAGGAGACCTTTCTGTGCCCAACTAACCAGACTCCGCTTCGCTTTTCTAAAGCTTTATTTATGTTACATAAAACACGTGGAATAAGTTATGTAGACGCCATTTTAAAAATTAAAGTAAGTTAACGTCTGTCCCTGCAATCTGGGCTGGGCAGCACAGCTGTGAGGGCTAACCCGTGGAGGCCACTTCCTCCTCATCACTGCCATCAGGTACCGCATCTGTCCCAAAGTAGCGGTCACCGAAGTTCCCTGGAAAAAGCAGCAGGCCAGGATGAAGTTGCCTCTATGGCCACCCACCCGGCCCACGCCTGACGGGCCTAGGGAGCCTCACCAATGCCTGGGATGATGCGAAAGAGATCGTTGACACGCTTGTCCACAGCCGTGGTAATGATCCTCACGCGGGGAAAGGCGTAGGCCACGGAGTGAACACCCATCTCCGCCATGAGCAGGGACAGCAAGAAGATCTTGTCCTCAGGCACATCGTGGTCCTGCCCGACCAGGCGCAGGTGAGCCCAGCCCCAGCCCACCCCAGGCGCCCCGCCCCCC